GAGGAAATCCTTAACAGAGTAAAAAAGCGGAAGGAAAATGTTGGAAGAAGAAAATAACAGAAAAACACAAGAGAGACATAAGTATTTCATATTTTGTGCTGAAGACCCAAGGATTTGTTTCTCATTCAATTCCCATATTTAAATAACAATTATATCCTTAAAATGGGAAGGAGTGGCAACTCAATTAAAGCCAATCTATTGTGCGTGACATTCCACTCACTTTTGTGTGGCTTTAACAAAAAAAGTGAAAAAAAAGAATGACTCCTAACCTAAAAATAGGGATTTATCTAACAACGGAAAGCTCTCTGATCTTGACGGAAATAAACCCTCGCCTCTCGGACCTCTCTTTTCTTCAAGGAATGGCCCCTTGCGTTTAGGTTTTGGTAGGAAGTAGATTCCAGCGGTGGTTTTCGATGAGTACTTCGGCAGCTCTTCCAAATTTCTTTCAACTCTCTCTCTCTCTCTCTCTCTTACTTTCTTTTGTCGGCCACTATTAAGGTTCCACTTCGGCCCTATAATGGATGGAGGGGCAAAATGACTAATATTTCCTTCTATTGACTTTTGCCGATTTTTTTTAGTGTTACAAACACTTCCCTCCTTAGAAACTTTAGTCCCCGAAAGTTGGCATTTCTTGGAAGAGTTCGGGATAGACCCTCTTCACGTCTTCTTCTCGTTTTCAGGTTGCCTCTTCCTCACGGTGGGTTACCCCATGAGACCTTCACCAAGGGGATAACTTTGTTGCGCAATCGCCTAGTGTCTCAAGTCAAAATTCTACTAGGTTTCTCCTCGTAAGACAGGTCTTCCTAGAGAGGAAGCGTTTCATGTTCGATCACATGGGTAGGGTTTGGAATGTACGTTCGCAGCATAGACACATGGAACACATTGTGTACGGCGGCAAGGTTCGGTGGTAGGGCAATTCTGTAGGCCACAATGCCAAATCTCTCTAGAATCTTGAAAGGTCCTATGAACCTTGGGCTCAACTTTCCATTCTTTCCGAACCTCAACACTCTTGTCATAGGGGCTACCTTCAGGAACACGTGGTCACCTACCTCGAACTCAAGGTCCCTTCTACGCAAATCTGCAACTCTCTTCTGACGGCTCTGTGCGGTGAGAATTCTCTTCTTAATTTTCTGCACCACTGCATTGGCGACCTTAACCAACTCTGGCCCCAGTAATTGTTGCGTGCCTACTTCTAAGACATTTAAGATTATTATTAAGCATAATTCTATTGTATGTCAAGCCTACTTTTCAAGACTACACTAGTAGCCTTATATTTTTCATATAATAGGTAATATTAAATTGTAAATAAAATAATCAAAATTATTATTAAAAAGAAATAATTAAGTATGAGATTTTAGGGCATAAATCCCAACACCCTCATCGTTTCCACTAGATAAGGGCACCTAATCACCTCGATGGGCTACACTATCCAACCTAGACTTGGCTCAATAATACCTAAACAACACCGCTTGGTAGGCCACTACTAGCATTAAGGGTGTACTATAAGAGATAGGAGGCGAAAACACCGATGATATTGTCACCTTGTTACTAGGCCTATTAAAATTTCTTAGTCATCTTTGTTATGGAGGTCTACTAGGTTCTGAGGGACATCTAGATGGTTTAACTATTATCTCATATTTCTAGAGCGCTTGGGGTTAGCTCCTCAAGACTGATCTAATCTCTGGGTGCACTCAAGTCTAAGCCTCTTATCACCGCTCACGATTCTAGGGTGCTCGGTCTACATGTAAATTGCTCTAGTGCTAGCACCTTAAACTTAACTTGGTCACTCATGCATGTTTTATTAAGGCGATATTCATGTCGATCACCTAAAGCAATGAAAACATAATCTAACCATCACCTTGGTCATCCCTAGTGTCGAGGAGGTCTTCTAAGTTCTTAGGGCAAGTAGGTGACTTAATGCAAACTATGGACTCTAAGGTACTTTTTTTTTAATCCTTGAGTCTTTCTCAGTCTAGTAGAGGCGTCCTGATCTAAGTTATCATCTAGCCAACCTCACCCTAGCGCCCTAGTCCTAGGTCTATGCAGAAAAACACACCCTACAAGGAGAACATACAATCAATCACTTAGAATTAGAACATATTATATCGTAATTCATACAAGCTCAACGAGGAGATAACATCCATCAATCGCATGGAGCACAGCTCATATTAATCCATCATCCATTCTAGCACAATGAAAACATTAAAATCGGGATGCATCTTAAATTCTCATCTAGGGGCATTTCAATAATTTTTCTTTATATACATAACATTCTTGTCCAAATTTATTTTATAGTGTCCTAATCGTGCATATTCTAACCAACTAGGCAAGATGTGCTTGCATGTTAACACGTCCAAGCAATCCCTACTTACATGGATCTTCTTGGGCTAGCTTTTCCATGTGTTAAAGAGCTCCAAATTTTCTTAAAATTCTCAAGAAGGTCCTAATTCAAGTCATAATAAGGTATAATTAGAGCCAAAAAGTAGAAAGGAGGTTGAACAGGACAAAAACAACACCACATACGCCCTCACACGCCACCACACGTGCCTTGGAGGAGACTAGCGCTACGCATGTGACAAATGGTGTGTTCTCATTTGCAAACAATGATCGGGTCGGTGGAGGTGAATCGGACTATAGTCTCAGGCGAAGGTAGGAGTGGGTTGAGGTCTCAGGTCACCCTCTAACAATGCGACGCATTGCATGTTTCCCCGCCAGATGCGTTTTCGTCCTCGATGACCGACACATGTCCTCCTCAAATGCTCGACATGTGCTTCAACCGTTGTACAACACATGTCCTTCCTCTCTCCCTAACAGCGTGTATTTTCATTTTGAAATTCTAGATTCCAAAAGTTTTTCTAATTTCTTCTTATTTTTGGTTTTTTTTTCTACGCAACTCCAAATTAACTTAGTTCATTATCTTGATCTAGCTATTCAATAAAATTATTTTCCTCTTATTCCATTTACTACCTAGTGAGTCTAAATTTGGCCTAGAACTAAAAAAAAAAAAAAAAAAAAAAAAAAAAAAAAAAAAAAAAAAAAAAAAAAAAAAAA